TTGGGGTACCATTCGATGAAGTGCGGTGTGCTACATAATGGTTACCAAAAAATCACTTGAGTCTTGGTTGAAACAAAATTTGCAAACAAAAACTAAATTTTAAAGCCCAAATCTGATCTCTTTTCAGAGAATTCCTACCCTCCAGCATACATTAGACATGTAGACTTGCCATCAATACATTTGCGGATTTTTTGTTGCTTAGATTCGGCAAACAAAAATAGACCGAAAATGCAAAAATGCCACTTTCTTTGGATTTTTCAATGCTAATATCGGTACTTCTCAATCAACAAGGCACAAACAGAGCGTAATTTTAATTATACTCAATAAAGCTTGCAGGCACAATCGTAGCTAGGAGCTAGGGAAGAAGTTTGCCATTTTTGGAGTATCTTTTTTCCCGATATGCGCGAGAAAAATTTAGCGAATGCATCTATGAAGGCTGCTATGTATCTTCTAGGACGACCAATTTGAAGCCTCGTAGGATTTTTTTTCCGCAAAAAATCCAATGTTCAGGTGGTAATTTTTTCGCGGCTTTGAACTTTATCTCTATTAGACTTAGGTAGATCTGTGGTGGTCATTATGTAAAACTGCTTTACCTTTTCTGATACCACAAGTCTGGTAGGAAAATAGAGGCAGTATAGAAGAACGGCGGTTTACATTTGGGGCAATCTGATATATAGACAATCCACTTCACTTCTTATTCAAAAATATCAAAGTATGTAAAGACAGAGCAATCAATCTGAATATCTATGCTGTGCTCAGAAAGGTCCTCATCCTAGTCGTCAGGGAAAGGACGTATCCATGTCATGCTTTCAACTCCTACAAAGAATATCCCAATTTCTAGAAAAGCGAGTTTTCGAATTCTATTCGAGACCCCCACATATATTTGTATTATCCAAGTGGCGTAACTTAGAAAAGTATATAACATTGGTAACAGTAAGATAACGCAAATGAATTTGACTGACGACTTCATTATCAAGCTGGTTACGAATATTTCTGAAGCTTAGCTGCCAGAAAGAAGAGCTATATTTTATTTCACTTCTTAGTGCTTTGCATTCATTAAAACCCTAATTATGTCATTTTGGCCTGATTTATATTTGTGTGTTCAGAATAAACTCTCACCGTAGATTATCACAATGGTTATGGGATTCGAAAAGCACATTTGCGCTAATCTTAATTGCAATCTAGGAATTCGCCAACATATGAGAAAGCTATGAAAATTTTTAAGCTGTTCATTCAATTGAAAAAGCTGCAAAGAACAAGGTAATGATGGTTCTATATCATGGCTACTACAACTTTTATCCCTACTCTGACCTGCACGAATTTGGGACATAATGTTAAAATCGATGTTTGAATGTTCGCGCAACTATCACTATGTTCTTCAGCTTCATTTCGTTTCCATTGTGTGGCACTAACCAGTTGTGCAGATAGAGGTCATCCAAAACTGCGTGGGAGTGTTGCTACCTTTTCGAACCTGAGTGGTTTCGACTGGCTTGAAATTTGTTCATTTTTTTATCTAAAGAACTAGCAACTAAATTAGTCAAGATTCTGTTTTTGTCATTCGGATTAAATTTGCTCTTTCTATCGCAACAAACGGCGCTGGTTGTCGTAGAAAAGGATATACTGTGATTGGCGTGGGGCCTATTTGTTTGCCGTAATGCGATCGGGCTGCTCTGTACCTCGTTCGGTGACTGTAACCTGCTTTTTTTTCGCGAGGACTGGCTGCTATCAACTCAGCCTATAGAGCAAGAGTTTGAACAAAAAAGATGGTTTCAATTCATGGACTAAAGAAAAGTCTACAATTTAAATAAATTCCATGCTTTGAAAGAGCGGGAAAAATTGAAATCCAGGCACTCCGCAGTATAGAGCAGCATGACGAGGAAGCCTGGAAACAACCATTTGTGAAAAAGTTATTGAATTAGTAGCCTTTTGTGGGGACTCAAGGTTCCCCGAAATCTGCAACTCTTGCTTTTTATCAAGGAGTTCTCCAGCCCAATCAGAGTGTTCAGCAGTGCTTGTTCATGTCGTACAGCCTGGCTATCATGTTCACCTCTTCACTTCACTCTCGACAAGCAGCACTATCTTCAAATAACCCATTATTGTTTGCCTCTCTTCTCGCCTGCGAGAGGCTGCGGCTCGGCTATCGAGCGACGATCCAAACAATTCATATACATACGATCCACTTATCGAAGAGCCATCCCTCACAATTGATTCTCTTCTCGCTTCCTGGTTTTTTCCTCGTTATTCACGGATCAGTCATCTTTGAGCTACTAGATGCATAATAGCTTTAATCGAGAATAGAAAACATGAGCCATTTGCGCTCTTCGTTATAGTGTTCTTTTTTTCATGATTAATAACTCACTTGTAGGCGTATATCTATTCACTTAGCGAAGTTACTTGAAGTTTGACACATGAAAAAATATTAAAAGTTGAGGTAGTGGATGTCGTTTTCTTTTGAAATTAGTGGCATTTTCCAAAGTTGAGTGGCATAGTGCCAGCTGGTAAAACGATGAAAAAAATCTTAGTTTTACCCTTTCTTCACATGAACTCTCGACGTTTCCACTTTATATAACCTCTCAAAATTTCCATGCTTCAATTCCGATCACATCATCGATCAAAGATCCTCAAGTCATTACAACTTCCTCTCTACGCTTTGCTACCCATCTATAAAAAACTACCGTTGCTTCCGCTTTTCGCTGTTTTTTCTTCATTCTATCTCCTTTATCCTAAACCATTCCTATTCTTTCCTGCAGTCTGTTGTGAAGCACTTTTCTAAAACAAACAGGCTTAGATTTTTGCGAATTTAGGGCAGACTTTGCTTTTAAAATCCACAATACGTCGTTCCCAGACCCTACCCCCTCCTTTCAAACAATTGAAGTCATCAATTTGTTTTTTTCTTCCCGTACATTAATGTGAACGCTATGGTCTCCTCTTAATCTCCGCGATTCCCCAGCTCTCGCGAGAAGTAGTGGCCTTGATCCGATTGTTCAACACTACCTCTATTTGCATGGAGTTCAAACCCATTTTTTAGATCAATGCGATAAATTGATATCAGATTCCACAAAATCATTCCTTTGCTTAGCTTTACCCTACTGAAAGTCTTTCCCATCTCTCTACCTGGGCTGTGAGAACATTTGAGTAAGGATTTTGAAGTTCAAAGTATCTCTGCGCGTTATTGGGTTGTGCTGAATTGGAAATCTAAAATGATATTGTAGATTTGTCCCGCGGCCTCTCCTTGACTTAGCAATGCTTTATTTCTTATATTTTACTTTTCTCACTTGTCATATATCAAAGCTACTCATCAAAAACACTTTTATGTTTCTGTTATCTGTTTACGTTTTTGAAAAAGATGCAATTATTGGATTGTTCCGAAAGTTCTGTCGTTTCATGAAAACATGTAACTTTATGCGGTCTCGACGGTTTTGCTTCTTTCTAATTTTTTGGAAAGAAGAAGTCTTCCTTTCTGTAGGCGTCTTCCGATGATCCGTCTTCTACTATACACTCATTGCAAAGATAAAAATGGAAAAAAAAGACCACCTGAGCTTTGACCATTTAAGTTAGGTCGCCAAAAATCTGGAGCGTTGCAGAAAAATCTGAAATTGTTAATAAATAAGTTTTATGACCTACTCTTTGCATTTGAGGAAAAGTTGTCCTGTTTTGACGTCTCAATAAAAAGTTACGATTATGACAAATCAATCAATCTTGGCGTTTTCTAATGTAAATCCGAAAATTATAAATTTTCATAGAAAATTCCAAACAGCACAATTTTTTCTCAGATGCGCAGGTAGAGTAATATTATTTACTAACAAATTCGGATTTTTCTGCAGCGTTCCAGATTTTTGGCGACCTAACTTAAGGTAGGTCTACTCGAGCTTGAAAACCACTTGAGCTAAGTTTTTTCCATTTTTATCTCTGCAGAGAATGTGTAACTGGAGTTCTCAGACAACTCTACAAAGAGGAAGAATTATTCTTTCGAATAGAATTGAAATGAAGCAAATCCGTAAAGATAGCGAAAAGTTACAAATTTGCAAAAATGAAACGATAGAACTATCGGGACAATCTAATACATCTAGATGTGCAGAAATGACTTTTGAGTAATGAACTAGTGTCTGCCATTGAGATGTTGACTATGCTCAACTAAATCTCTTCACTTAATCTGATCTCCTGTCGTTACCCTTGTCAGCTTTTTTTGAGTATTTGTTTTTGCTGTTCGCTTTTTCCGTTTTTTTTACACAAGCACTCCCCAGTATTAGCTCATGTGGTAATGTGCCAGCTGGAACAAGGATTCATCCTGAGCTAGGTGTTCTAGTGCTAAAATTTTTGGTTTACTCCTCTTCGGGAGTATGATGGAAAAACAGCTCATAATTGTTATATAGACTCGTTACGGAGGGCCCATGAGGCATGAGGCAGTAAATATTTCCGCTTGAACAAGTGCGGGAGTCGAACCCGTTGTTTTTTTTGCTACAATAATTACATGGGTTTCAATTTGTGTCTTGAAGAATTAAACTGATAATAGTAATACAGCTTGAACGAAGTCTTGATGGATCTTTTAACCTTCAACTATTCACCTCCAAATCTCAGGGTTGATGAACATTATCATAAAATAAGCCATCAAAGATGGCTGCAACCTATAGATAATGCTTCGCTTTTCAAAAATTTGACAATCTAAGTCTGGACATAATTATGATAACAAATTCCATGATTACACATTATAGATTATTGTTGGGTGAACATACAAACAGATGTTGAAACAGTTTATCCTACCAAAAAGAAGAGTGATATTTCAGCTGCTCCAAATGCAATTCTCCGTCTCCAATGATTCCAACAACATATGCAATGCATACAAGACCTATTGTATTAGCTCATTTCACCATTTCATCTCAGCTCTCTTTCTGTGCCTCTAATTTATAGAATTCCTCATCTGTTCTCATTGTTTGTGGTACAATCACGTGTGTCACCCAAAATTAGCTCATAGCCCATGTTATAAAATGTCCAGAAGGTATCTAAAATGTCTACCACTTTTCCTCTGAACATTTTTTTGCAGATGATGTTAATATTTTTGCTCTTTATACCCGCTACTTGCGCAGTGCTATGCTACCAGTGTGCCTCAGAATTAGCTTTGATTGTAAGTTTTACTTTCATACCAGTGAAACAACAACATATCGTATGTGAGCAGTTCATCCAAAAACCACTTCAGAATTGGTCTCGATATGGTCTACCTCATGCCTATGGTGATTCAATGATAGCAGATGATTCCTGCCTAGATGACGAACGGATCACTGGTCATATCCCGTGTAGTGCACCTTGTATGACTATAAACATCACTGCTGTGGGAGGAAAGCACGATGGAAAAGTTTTAGGTAGGTCAGGCGTCTGTATTTCTTTGTATTATACATGGCCATGCAACACTGGCGAAAGGAGGGGGAGGGCGATCCGAGTCGCGAAATTTTTGAACACTTCAAATGGCTACAAAATATATACAAGTAACTTGTTTATACTTGTAAATAATCAAAACAATCGTTGAACTTTTTGGGAAACCACATAAGCCTTGTGAATAATTTATTCATTTATTTGTTTATTTCAATACATTCATGGTGCACCTAAAAAAACAAACAAAGAATGCAGAACAAACTTGCAAAACCAACCAACCACTCAAGGTAGCTACATGAGATAGGAGCATAAGTATAAACAAGCTGAAGAGCCCTAGACCTAAGACGTGCACACGTTCTTCGCAAAAAGCTGCGAAACTGTGGGAAATAATCTAAAAGAAAGAATCTGGATCTTACTTACTCTAAAATTCTGATGACCCGGTTTTTTTGGGTGCCAGCGAGCCCCGGTAAGCTAGCTGACTAGTCCCCGATAAAGCTTAATTTTAGAGGAAGCAAGATTGTGTCAACTAAAATAGATGAACTACTTCCAAGAAAAACGGTCTAAGGTCTGAGGCTAGAACTCAATGTGACCTGGAAATGTAAAAAGAACACCTTGCTGGTATGACAGGTTGGTTACAGTTAGTGAAGGCATAATCATGGTCAGTAACACAAATGCAAAAGGCAGAGAATGATCAATCTATACTCGATCTGGCAAGAAGCGGGGAGTGATAGATGTGCAGTTGAAAGGCTAGATGAAGAGCAAGCATTGTACTCCTAAACATCAGGAATATGCAACGTACTTAACACATTTATGGAAGCTAATTTTTTACGAAAAACACAAGTATTCTTATTGCAAACAATTTCTTTTGATAGGAGACTCAGCCATCTTGATGTACGACAAAAAAATGAATTGAAAGTTGCCAAAAACATTTTTTTACCTGGTTTACGATGATGTAGATTAAACCCACCTGTACGTTCCCCGCACGGTCTGAAAACCCGGTACTTACTCGCTTGCAATCTAGTTTCCAGATGCAAGATTCGGAAACAAAAAACTAAATCGTTTACAACGCGCCTATATTTTAGACTACGCAATTTCAAAGTGGCAAGTCTTTCACTATATGACGGTAAACATCATGGGTAATCGGTACTGGGAAAACATCTGTAAAAAACCATCCGAGTAAATACTTTTTGTACTCTCTCAAGTTTAATCGCATTCTTCTTAAGGAATGGATTCCAAACGGGTGAAGCGTAATTTCTTCTCGGGGCGTGGCCTTTTTTTAAATTTCGAGGTTTTGGGTCCACAAAAATGTAGAAACATCCCACAAAATTTCGGAGTGCCTTCATTCGAAAAAAATTTTGTCGTCTTCTCAGCGGACGGAAATCCTGGGACCCACCATTGCCATGTAACGGGGTAGATACAGGGCTCCTAAATTGCAGAGTCGTTTGCACCAGCGGTCGCGCTACCGCGTCGCGCCCGGGCATTTTGCCGGCGCCGGCGCCATCGATCGAGGCAGCGCCATTGATGCCCGGGCGCGACGCGGTCGCGCGACCGTTGGTGCAAACGACTCTGCAGTTTAGGAGCCCTGTATGTGTTGTGTCACAAATGTTTCGCCCGGGGGAGGGCTGAGTATATAATGCGGTTTTTTCTGGATTTCCAAATTCAGAGCTCCATACATCTCAAGATTTCACAGGAACCGGTCACACCGGGAGTTTTTTTGGTGTTAGTAACTTAGTTCTAGTGTTTTTCTGTGAAAGAAAACACGGCAATAATCAGGGACCCAAGCAAAACGTCTGTTTTCTCCTTCCGTTCTATGTACCTTGCTATTTGAAACAGACAATGAAATCGATTACTTTTCTACCATATAACGAAGTGATGTTTTGAACGAATCACCTTTCCTTCAACAAGCTTTCTGAGATTTTAGGGGTCGTTCGTGATTGTCAGAGATACTTTCGAAGTCCGAAGTCCTTACCCGAGGGCTCACTGCGATTGTGCCGGAGCAGCGAGCGAGTCACATTGAGAGATCAGAGGTAAATCTTAAGAACTTGTAAAAGTAAGCCTTTTACAGACAACCAATTGCTATTTCAGAATAAACATGACATTCTGCTACTGTCAGGGATCATTATGCAATGGGAAAGCGACTACTTTCACGCGGCGGTCATCATCACGGAGTCTCCAATCCGGGAACGATCCCTTATCAGCCAGTTTGCAGTTCAGTATCTTTTCGATGGTTGTAATACTTCTAACATCATAATTCAGTCTGCTTACATGCAGAATATTAACGTGTAATTATACAGAATTTTCTGAACAGAACTTCAAATCGTGGTGCACTACGCAGTGAAGTCAGATGTGCTAGATTAGCGTACTTTATCTTCATCTTTTCCTGTCCAGCTTTCCTTAACAAATTTGAGGGCTTGTATCATCACTTACAATCTGCGAGTACTCTTTCATGGAATACCGGTGATTTATTGTATAAAATCTATGTTCGCCTATACGAGAGCACTTCTCATTGAATCATTTATATTAATTACGAGTGGGATGTGCATAATAAAGGACCAGTCATGAGTTATTCGACAACGACTATAGTTTCTGCTATGGGCAACCTTTTCTGGCACTCATTCATGTGAAGGCAGCTTCGATGCTTGCGTCCATGGGTAAAAACTTCATGGGTAACTAAAAGTCACACAACATGAGTGAAAAAAATAACGAAACTAGTCTTACATTATGTCGGCAGAATTCACAAGCCTGGAACATTCTTAGAAGCTAAGATTTTTTTGGAGCTCTTCTTCATGCATACAATGTTAGATAGTGTGGATTTTGCGGCAGCTGAAAAGATCCGTTTGGGATGTAGAGATCCACTAGCTTAGATGGATTAGTATCAGTTACCTTATGATCTAATTGCCATGTGTACAGCCAAATTCTACAATGCACGCAGTACTCCTGTTTTGGAAATGTGAATTTTTAGCCCAAGACCGCTGCTTCAATGAGGTGATTGCTTTACAACTTTATTTGAGCAGCGTATGACACATCTTTCTGAGATTAATTTCTGCAAAAGAGCTTTCCTACCGCGATAATGCAACAAAATCCCAAAAAAGATGCTCGCATTCGAAGAATCACTTAGCTGATTCCTTTTTCTAATCGTAGCCACACACGCTTGAGGACGAAGGAGAGAGAAGTGAAAAGATGGGAGGTTATCTATGCAGTTACTCACATACATACTCGTATGATATCTCACATACCCGTCGCATATGATTCTACAATCAAGCCACTTCTACAATACAGCCTTCTGTATATATAAAGAATTTTGCATGAAGGACGTGGAGCCCTTTTAACCGTCACATATGATTGTAAGAAGTCTTGTAGAAACATCATTTCGAAAACAACTTGCAATATCTTGATTACTGAGTGAACATTTGAGACGAATTTGTATATTTACCCCGTATATGTACATATAGTCGCAAACACAACAATCAAGTGAAATGAAGAATGAGAAGCTCCTGATTAGTAGATCACTTTGGTGACATAAGGTTCTGGAAGGATCTGGTGACTTGATCACAGTAAACGACGTCCTCATATGACGGCAGAGGTGTAGCCCGGGCTGCTTCAGAATACTCTGAAATGGGAATGCCTTGAAGTAAAAAAATATTCAATATGCGATATTTTTGTTAACTTACTAACTAACTAACTATAAATGCTACTGAAGGTTGCCTGATGCGATTCAGAGGAACATGAACTGGATTTTCAAGCTGTATATTCTAGTAATCAAATTGTGAGGAAGCGAAGCAGACAAAATTTCTCTTTTTCGAAAGATTGCCTACTGAATTTCACACGTCACTTTTATAAAAGTCGAGCTGAGGTACCGTCATACGTAAGTGATAACTTGTATGAAAGAAGTTTTTCCGGATTATCTCAAAGTTAAGCGTTTCGGCAGTCATCGTTGCCAAGCCGGATGTGTACTTTGCAAAAGCATTTTTTGGAAGTCAGCAATTTGTCAGCATATCAGCGAGTATGCGGAAGTTCATATAAATTTTGAAATCCAAAGGGAGTTAACCAGACTTTCTTTCCCCAGCAATTCTTTCTTTTTCAATACCATCCGCTTTCCGTGGGAACTTTCAGCACAAATCGTACTGCTAATTAGCTGCCATCTCCAAAAATCCAAAAGTCTGAAAACTTTCGCAGTGAAGTTCTCATACCAGCTAATTTTAGCGAATACCTCTATGGATCGGGGACCCATTTTTTACCTCGAATCTAAGTTGATGACAACCCTACAACATCTATCTGTCCAGACAAGAGAATTAATAGCCACCAAACGTATGATAAATTTTTTGGGGACAACCGGCATTGAAACACTGTCCAGAACATCGGTCCTGGAACACTAAAAAGACTATTTTACAGATCACTTTCCAGCTTAACGCTATTCCATCCGTGTTTTGGCACCGCCAAGCATGAAAAAGCAAGTTCTCAACTTTTCTGTCAAAGAGAATATTCTGAAGTGTGCGAGGTTAAGAGCTTACCTGGGGGATCATAAGGACATTGTATCATGAATTCGGGAATGCTAGCAGGGACGAGAACTGCAAAAGCCTGTCTCACAACAGTTTTAAACAAAAGTGAACTCAAAATGCCTCACCAGACAAGTCGCACTCAGGCGATGGTTTCACATCGAAAAGTCGCTCGCATCCGGGTTGTACACGATTTCGTTTACATAATAGGCAAAACAGTGAAGTAATTAAGAACAGCGCACTCAGTGAGATCAAAAGCAGGCAGATAACTGCTGTGGTCACAGTGGACAGCATAATGTTCAATTCGAGAATTGTGGGATTCGTCCGGATCTGGCAGCCTCTTTAACTGATTGTCAATGACGCAGCGGGCAAGCTGTGATAAGCTGGATTATGGATTATTTTAAGATCTGTAGAAAGCCGGTTACAAGTTTCTGTGCGTCTCAAGCCCCGCTCATATCTGCTTTTAGCGATATTGGCATTTGGTCTTAGAGTTTACCTGCACGTTCTTCGTTCTCTCACTCGGCACTTCTATCTATAGATGTTGCCCTTGTCTTGATCAAAGAGCTTCCTGTAAAGCCGCAAATTCCTGTGCACCCGAAATAGCCTTCATCTAACAGGAAGTAGTGAATCTGGAAATAAATTCTGCGTGACGTATCGCCAAAGTACATAATAGGGATAGCAGCCTCACTAAAAGTTCTCAAAATAATATACACTGCTTGTTCGTCATTGTTGTGCGCGAAATCGCAGTGAAAATTCAGTGGCTCCCAAAAAATGTGCCTTCCGTTTGATTATTAATAAGTCTCTTGTCATGAAGCCTTTGGGGAACCTTAGGCAGGCGCTATACTCCTCGAGGAGTATAGCATGGCGACGGGCGATCGCCAGTCGTAGCGACTGGCGATCGCCAGTCGCTAATCGATACGTATCAAAAGTGTAGTCGCCGATGGCGATCATTACTCATTTCCCACCTCCATTTCAAAGTACTCACCAGCCGGTGTGGTCGCCCTAAAAAGAATGAACTGCAAGATCAGTGATTTTCACGTTCAACACTTAACGGTAACTTGTTTGGCGATTGGCGATCGCCAGTCGTAGCGACTGGCGATCGCCCGTCGTAGCGACTGGCGATCGCCCGTCGTAGCGACTGGCGATCGCCAATATCGGCGACAAAAATCGCTGGTTTTACACGTATTTGATGCATATCGATCGTCGCCATGCTATACTCCTCGAGGAGTATAGCACCTGCCTTAGGCACCATTTTATAGAGCTGGCTTCAACTTAGACAAGCAGTATGAAGTGAATCATCGATCCTCTACTGCAGTGGCAGCCGTTTTTTCGAGGTTCCTAGAAACATTGTTACATCGTTAGCTTCACGATCTTGTAAATGTTGAGTATTAAGCTAACTCGGCGTCTATTGAAATTCTATCAAAGAAATTTTTAGAATTCGTGAAATTATTTGAGGCGGCAGCTTTTTCATAGCGACGGCATTTGCCGCGAGTTCCTACCGTAATCTTACAGTAATGACGAGCGACCGCAGACTCACTCCATACTGTAATCTAAGTTTGAGCCAGCTCTATCTAGCCAAGTTTCCGAAGCTTCTAGAAAGACTCCTTGACGAGAGAGGTATTAACACATTGACGACCATGCAGATTTTTAGTTGTCTGCCTTCTGCGACCAAGGTCTTTTGCATATCAGCGCACATTTTTCAACTATAATCACGCATACTGCCATCTACATTACGCCTACAGTAAATATGAAAGGCTGGCAAAAAAGATAGAGGTTACCCCTAGATTTAGTGCGAAAGGAAGGTTGTGGAGTGAGTTTATTCCAGGATAGTAGTCATTTTAACAAAATTCAAGCCTTGACACACATGGTGTGTCAAGCGGTCGTCAATGTGTTAAGAATCAAACAGTAGGCACATTTTTGGAACACTCCGTATATCTTTCTAGATTCCCTAAAAACACTGCCAGAACCTCCTTTTAGCAAAGCTATTTTTGGCATACACGCGCCATATTGTTAGTTTTATAAACCATGTTGCCCAAAAAACGAAAACTCGTTTTATTACACGGCTTTTGCGTTAGTTTACCTCTGAATCATGCGCAAGAGATAAGCCTTATAAGGCCCTCGTATCCTCGTAAGATTCCAGGGGTGCATCAGTAAAATATATCATGCTTCATCGTGAGCGCACTAAAGTGTGGAATTTTTGAGATAAACGCAGTAAAATTCATGCTCATGGCTTATATCAAATTTGAGCATATATGTCGGCTTAAAATCTTTATGAAAATGGTGTTGTTGCTCGTGAATGCATTGTTTTGAGTTCGTTTGCGCCACCAGTTCGTCTAATCCCAACAGGTTTTCTTATACGTGTTTATTTTCATAAAATAATCTTAGCATGTTTGTGCATCTTTCCAACACACGTATTCCGGTTTATATCGAGATATTTCTATAGTGCCTATCCAAATTTTTTTCCGGCTTGACCAATTTTACCTATTCTGTTACATTACTCAAAAGTATTGCTCCGATGTACCATCTTCTCATACATAAGGAGATTTTTCAAATTTGGAAGATAGAAGTTTTTTTCCATACTTCCGCTTAAAGCTTAAAGCCGATGTGTTAAAGAGAATGACTGAAGCCCCTAAGTGCTTAATAGTTTGTTGACATAAAGAAGTTCACGTTGAACACCAGTTGGTTATCCGGAAACTTTTCTTATGAGTACACCCACATTTATTGGAAATTTATGCGTTTTGGTTAGCGTGTCTACGACTCTTGAACGAATAATTGGCCGGTGAATGACGTCTGGGATGTTTCTGATTGTGCATGTG